CTCAATCAGATGCTTGATAGCCGCAGCAACCACCCTGGATTTCAACTGTCGATGGCCTTGGGAAGTTATGGATGACACACATGTGTGTGTGTTCACCGCACGGGATATGACCCAGCGGCCGTGTCTCTTGCTGTTGATGGTCCGAATCCTAACATTGCACCCCTCGTGATGATTACGACATCTGACTATGAGCCTTTTGGTGTTGGAATGAGTTGTGTGCCATTCAAAATGCTCATTGCTTCAGTCTCAATGGCGTGCCGCACCTCCTTCTTCGAGCCAAATTGTTGGCCCTTCGTAAACCCAGTGAGTGGGCCCCATATTGGGATCTCTAGCGTCTAGAATGTGATTGTAGTAGGGGACTGGTACACGGTCAGGAGCCACATCATGATCGTTATCTGAATCTGACTCTGGTCCTGAATCATCAGCACCTTCAAGAGGGTCGGAGCTGTCTGCACTGACGTTGTTCTCTCCTTCTTCATCGGAGGGGTCGCTGACTGGTGCTGGCATGGCAGCTTCCATCTGATCCAGCTCATGAAAGGCACCTTCATCAGCTCCATAATGGTAGTTGTGAAAACTACCGCTGCCTGATTGGAAGTTGTACTGGGGTTGGTTGCCGAGGTCCGGTTGAACTTCTTCTTCATATGACGGGAAAGATTGATGATGGCCTTCACCTTGCTCTTGGTACTGAAAATAGGAATGAGGATCATGGTAACTTTGGTAGGGATGATCGCTATATAATTCACCTCGACCATGGATACCAGATGTTTGACCGTGTCCAGAATGACCTCCAACGCCAACGGCTGGCTCGGGGTAAACGAACATCTCGGCTTTGGCCAATTTGTTGGACCTCAAGAATTCGAGCATGGAATCTACTTCATCTTGAGTGGTTATGGTATATTCCTCATGCCACAATGACCCACTTTCTCTGTTTGGATATCGGTACACCATACGATCTACTATTCTCGTGCCATCCATGCAAGTAACGTTAGTGCATATTTGATGGAGGTCTTCAAGCTTCGATCTGGTAACGACCTTTATTTTCTGAAAATTGCCACCGACGTAGGTGGCACCCTTTCCGGTCTCTTCCGTGTAACCATTCCACCGTAAGCCAAGCGTGAACTGGCGGAATGCCATTTGCACACAAAAAAACCGTAGTTCAGTTAATATCATAAAAATCACAAATTACAAATAACATTAAAAAGTAACACAAAATAAACTTAAGAGTTAATGTTAATGGCAAAAACACTAAAGAAATATAGAGATACAACAGAAAAATGAAAAGAGAGATGGAGAGGTGTGAAGAATAGAGGTTTTCCGGGCAGTCTTATATAGGCAAAAAAATGAGGAAAACCGCACATCTAAGGTGCGGTTTTGGCCTGCCATGCAACCCTACGTCCATAATTCTGCATGGGTGATTGTCGGGTGTCGGAAAATAATTGACACACAGACCGCACTTGGGGGGTGCGGTCTGTGTGGCTAAACCGCAACTTAGATATGCGGTTTGGTTTTGGAGGAATAAACCGCATCTCTAAGGTGCGGTTTGCCTAGGTCAGGCCAAAACCGCACCTCGGCCATGCGTTTTGTGTAGGGCAGACGTGAAAACGCATGGCCAAAATGCGGTTTAGCCCCAGGAAAATGGACCGCACCCTACAGGTGCGGTTTATATATAAAACGCACCTGGAGGATGCTGTTTTTATATAAAACGCACCACAAGGGTGCGGTCCGAAAAAAAGGGTGCTAGTTTTGTAAATATTTTTGGAAGGGTGCTAGTTTTGTAAATTTTTTTTAAAGGTGATATTTCTGGAAAAAACTCAAAATTCTTGCCCTTCCATAACGGGTGTCAAGCAGAAGAGCGACCGTCAACCGGACTAATTGGTGGACTGCTGCTGAGTACTGCTGACACTTTGACCCGCTTAGGTGAAGGTGCGCTGACGTGTTGTTCCGTCCTGACGCCGACGACGGGAGTTAGATCTGACTTGAGATATAAAAACTGTTTTGGTCCAAGAAACTTACCAGGAAAAGGTCATTTGATTCCATTCCAAACCCGGTCTAACCTCATGATCGGTCGTGTTGGACCGTTTCACTCCTTCCACAGACCAATTTACGAACGTAACCGGAAATATATATCCATATGCAATGCAATGAACTATGACCAGCCACTGGAGTTGGGCCGTTGTTGATGGCCGCCACTGGTTGCACGTCGTCGGTTCACAGTCACCGTTCGTTGTCGCCATTGACATATTGTGCTTGTAGTGAACATTCTTTTTAGATGATTGTTACTTTGTTAGTCCGAAAATTTGAATGCAGAGTACGATGGATGTGATTATTATATATTTGAATTCTCATTATATCCGACCTTTTGATGAGAATGGTAAGAGTATACATGCCGCCGGCTTGGGATACAGTGAGTAACCACTGGTTACTGATCTGTAAGTAACTCACCCGGAGCCGTTGATCTAGGACGGAGCGATCATGTGGCTGGGATTGATGCGGGGTGATGAGGGGTATTTCTGTCCGCTTTTTGAATTTTTAATTGTTTCCTTTTTTTAATTTGTTCAACATTTATTAGTTTGCTTTGCATGGAGAAGAGAGAGTTAGTGTCTTATCTCTGCAACTCTCTTTTCCTCTTTTTTTGTTCCTTTCTCTCTCTCATTTTCCTTATTCTCTAGATCTAATCTCTTATTCTGTTCTTCATTTTTCTCTCTAGCAATCTCCTCTTTCTTTGTTCCTTTCTCTCTGCCAATCTCTTTCTTCTCTAGATCTAATCTCTTTGCAGCTGCTTCTTCCTTATGTTCTTTCTTTTCTCGGCCTCAAAATAGATGACGTTCCATATTGACAAAGAGGGGACGGATCTATGTGAGTTAAGTTTGCATGTTTTATATTTTAGTATTTGTTTGTGAATTTTCAATTCCGATCTTCCTCCTCTTTTTTGTTGTTGCATTTGGTGTTCTTGATTGCAGAGGAGAAATGAGAGGAGACAGAAGACGAGTTTTTTTTTGTCTCTCCCTCCTTCTGTTTTCTTCCTTGTAGGTAATATGTATTGGTATTACCACACTATACCATATGGTAATGTGTGATAACTAAATGTATCTTTATGGTCACGAGTTTTATCATGGTGGTAGTGGGTGGTAATCGACTCCAGTTCTGAGAAAAAAGAGTTAGAAGACAATGAAGCTGGAGAAGAAAGTGAAGAGAGTCGTAATTGTATATATATATATACCGAGATTACCACACTATACCATATGGTAATGTGTATATACCATATGGTAATTTGTATATACCATATGGTAATTGTGTATATACCATATGGTAATGTGTATATACCACACTATACCATATGGTAATGTGTATATACCATATGGTAATGTGTCTATACCATATGGTAAAGTGTGGTAACGAAATGTATGTTTATGGATATCGTGTTTTACTATGGTCGTAAAGGATTGTAATTAGATTTATATTATTTTTGTATGGTTTTACCTTCTCATACCATGTGGTATTGTATGGTATTTACAATTAATTTGTGTTCATTCGATTAACCATGTTCTACTATGGTGGTATTGTATGGTAGTTAGATTTACCATATGTTGATATTACCACACTATACCATATGGTATTGGGTGGTAACGAAATATATATTGATATTACCACACTATACCATATGGTATTGGGTGGTAACGAAATATATATTGATATTACCACAGTATACCATATGGTATTGGGTGGTAACGTAATATATATTGATGTGCCAAATTTTTTCATACCATATGGTATGGTCAATACCAGTCATTACCATATGGTAATGACTGGTAATAACTGACAAATTTTTTTATGTCTGAAAAATATCAAAGTGGATATCATTTTGAAGAGCACAATTAATCTGATCTAACTGTGCAAAAAAAATTAAATTCCGACTTAAAACGAGTGAGAAATCGTCCGTTAAAGATTAAGAGAAGGAAAATTAAAGGTTGTTTGAGGAGAGAGAAGGCGCTGATGTGATCTGGTCAGCGTCCGTCAGCGCGTCAGAGACATCATTAAATAGGGGTGCAATTTTACCTTAGTGCCCCTCCGTATTTTTTTTAAATAAAAAGAAAAAGCTGACACGTGGGGGCCAGGGGAAGGGGTTACTGATGGTTACTGATGGGATGGTTACTGAGGTGATGCGGACCCCATGCCGCCCGCGAAAGTTGACGATCGATGATATTCTTTTTGTACAAATTAAATTTTTTGCTAGTAACTTATGTACATAAATAGTTACTTGCGCGCATTTGGAGTTAGAGTTACTAACAAAGATGGTACAGTGTAGCACATGTATTCAAAGCTAATCACAATGGCCGGTCAGTCATAAAGAAAAATGCCACTGAAATGATCATATTGCCAAGTCTATCACATCACATACAGGAAGTTGCAGACTAGTTTTCGATAGGTTCCCTGATCCGTCTTGTGCAATATAAAATTCATAGCCGAACATGTTGCAATCACTTGACTAATTGGATTGAACTACTCTTGCTTTGCTAGCTAGCTAGCCAGCCAGCCTGACCATAGCTCAATCTCCCTTTCACCGTACATCTCGACCCTTTCCTCCTACCAGAGGCCGACCCGATTTAGTGAAAGGGTTGTCAATTAACAACCCTTAGATCCAAATTTGAGACAAAAAAAAACTTCTATAAAATTTTGTTTTAGTGATCATGATAGTATTTAGACACGATATTACTTTTACCAATTCTTAATAATTTTAATTTATCGTTAAACACCCTTAATAAAATTCATGGTCCACCGTTCCTCCCTACCTTCCAATCAGGCAGATCCCCCCTTAAATACACACAACTTTTCCATTATTGAACCGCACATTCACAAAAGCCCAAAATTTATATAAACACACACATTTCCTTCTTTAAGTTCTCCCCTACCATATAACCACTAAACAACAATCTAATATTGTTTCATTTCTTAGTTTATTTGCTACACAATCTATATATACCAGACCAATATTCATCGTCATGGCAGGTTTTAGCAATAGCTTCGCATTCGTCATGACGACAACAATATATAGCTCTCTGGTCGCTGAGATTTCTGATGGCATCGTCGCTGCTGCCGGGCCATTGCATGGAGAGCAGATTAAATGGCGGGACGAAAGCTTTCTGCGGATTCAGTCTCCCCAGAGAGGTCCAGTTCCGCCGTCTCAGCCTTCCCCTTGCGGCCACACACTCGGCGGAATCGGCCACTGTCCATTGACCGAAATGAACTACGCCGGCGGACGTTTCCGGAGCCGCCACCTCCCGGTCATGCCACAACGACATCGTTTCCCTCTTCCGACATGCCGTGGCGGATCCAGAAATTCTACATAGTAGTGTCCTCTATAAAAAATTAAATTAAATAATTATTAAATTTGAAAATGCCTAAAAGTTTCATTACAAGTTCCGACGTGTTTCGTCAAATGATAAAATGCATTCGGTGTTTATATTGCTCAACAAATATCTCTCGACATATCCTACTAGACAAGGATATCCCGTCATTGAGTTTAATCGTTAGTTTTTGAAAATAATTTGAGAAAATAATAACATTTTACTATTATATTTGGATCTAAAACACAATAACAAATGAGTTGTAGCGTAATCGAAAATATATTAACTAATAGTGGCAGTGTCCCAAATTTAAATCACATAAACTACTACTTAAATATCATTTGTACCAATACGCAAACTATACGGGACAGAGGCGGATACATGGGCCTCTAGGGGTGTCCCGGGACAGCCCTAAAATTTGGAAAAATGATTATCTAACCTCCGGTAGTAGTTTCGTATGGGTATACAAAATATAATTGGTAATTTGGGACACCCTAACATTTGAAAAAATGATTATCCTACCCTCGATAATAGTTTGCTTATGATTAACAAAATATAAGTGGTAGTCCGTGTTATTCCAACCTAGGACACTATTATTATCAAACATATTCTAATTATGTTGCTACTCATTTAATTTGTTATTCTATTTTAAACATCATGCAACTAGTAAAACGCTATTTCTTTATCCCCAACTATTTTCAATACCTAATAATTAAACTACGTACACGCTACCCATAATTTTGAATTGATTTTATGGTTGCACGGCAAGTGTTGAAAGAGTCTTTTCTACTTTGAGCTACATTAAGAACAAGGTTAGAAATCGAATATGTGATAAGTTCGTGAAGTATTGTCTAGTAGGATATGTAGATTTTCTTTTAACAGTGCAGACACGAAGTTTATTTATATTATTTTTTCAAAATATGAAAACACATCATGAATTTTAATAAAAAATTTATACAAGTATGATATTTTTAATATATGAATTATTTAATTTATTATTTAATTTTTGAAGAGGACACACCTGTGAAACTTTTCTCAATCAGCCACTGCAGACCAGAAAGACGTTTTGCTACAAATGAACCATAGACATTCAAACGTATCTAACCGTAAACTTATCGCCAGGTCCCAAAAAGAATCAAAGCAAAATACTTGGGAAGTCTTTCCATTTCCATATACTTGGGAAATTGCTGAGTAATTTTGGAGGTTCCCTCGGTCTTGTCTATTATATAGACGCCAAATTCTTTAGTCAGTAATTCCAGCAAAACACAAATATATGTGCAGCATGAATGAATCAAATTCGTCGTTCCAGGTCAACCAAACCCAACTTATAAGCTGCTCATTCTCCACCTACATATACGAGGTCAATCAATCCCAAATGGACCGCCCCATCTCTCTAGTCTCTCTACGCTCATCATCAACGATATCAATTCAACCCCACGAGCTAGCCATGCATGGAAATCTATGTTAGTCAGTGGTATAAAATTCATTATTGAATCTCTCCTAAAAATTCGAGTTATTGTGATAAATTGGTTCTTGACATGATATCATAATCTTTTGTAATCGAGAGGTATTGTTTTCAAATTTCGGTAACCCCTTTTACAAATCACAAGGTACATATTCTCGTATTTAGGACCTGTACAAATAAGAAAACCTTAATGAATTGACTTCTCTTTGTTCAGGGGTGGAGCCAGGATTTTGGGTTTGGGGGGCCTAAAAATTTTAGTATATTATTGTAAATTTAGACAAAAATTCATTATTAAACTTTCGTTTGAGGAGACCGAATGTGTTAGTCAATGGTCTAAAGTTTATTATTAAAACTTTTTTAACAAATTGAATTATTGGAATCAATTATTTCTCCGGTGTACCCATCATCAAATGAAGCAGAGTACTAAACTGCTATAAATACACCAAACCTTTTCATGCTTTAAATTCATTTCTCATTCACAAAAGCAACAAATATTTAAAACACACATTCTCTTATTCGATTTCGCCCCCACCAAATACGTACTAAAAAAATACGCATCCAGATAAAGTATTTATACTAGCTAGGAATCGAATCAGTATATCAGTCATGGCAGGATTAACCAGTTTTGTCATGGCGACAACGATAGCTCTGGTGCTGCTTGCTGATGCCTTTCATGGTGTCGCTGCTGCGCGGACATTTCGCTGGGATGATGAAAGGTTTCTAAAAATCGAGTCTCTCCAGCGAGGCCCCGTCCCGCCGTCGAGAGCTTCCGGTTGCGGCCACACTCCTCGTCCCGGAGAAACCGGACGCTGCCCCTTGGACGAAATGAACTACTCCGGCGGCGGGCGCTTCCGGAGTCGCCGTGCACCGTCACCGCCGCTGCCGGATCATGCGGTGGCGCCGTCTCCTGCCAAGTCGTCAAATGGTGGCGATTTCTCGGCCTGAGGTGCATGGCTTACGTGTCCAGAAGTGGAGTGGGTCTGTGCCTGCCATCATTTGACCTGTTTCATCAATTGTATTATTTATTTCACGTGTAGCTAAGTTGTTGGTCGCATGTACTTTAATTTATTGTTTTCATTTTCACCAATCAAGAGTACGATATTAAAGAGCGATCATCATCATAGAATACTACAATAATTATTTGTGAGGGAGTGATTAAGATTTAATCATGGAATTAATCTTACAACTAAAGTATTAAAAAATAATTGAAATTATTGAGACCAATGGATTTATGTTAAGAATGACAAAAGAGTAGGACGGGTAGAAATTGGATATTTTGTCTGGGATATAGGGATGGCAATGGATAGGGTCGGGTGCGGGTTTATCCTATACCAACTCCTAACCCGCCGGGTAGAGCCTTCTAAAACACCCGACCAAATAATCACCGGGTATGAAAATTATATAACCATACCCTACCCACCGGGTAACCACGGGTATTCGGGTAACCATGGGTACGAATCCTAAACTATGGACTTATACACATATATGCACATACAATCCACACAAATAAAAACAACAAAAACATAATAATTGTTCTTGCTTCTACAATCCACACAAACATAATAATCGTCTACATCTTCATCATCAATAATGGTAGCTAAACTAAATTTCTAAAGCTAAACTAAATTTCTCAAGGGAAATTAACCCTTTGGTTAGCGGGGCGGGTATTATCGATTACCATACCCGTACCCTACCCTTTATTTTGAAACCGGGTATTACCCGTACCCGCCCCTTAACCCGTCAAAGCGGGTAATTACCCTCGTTGACCAGTTACGGTCGGGTAGGGTACCCATGGTTACGGGTTTGATTGACATCCCTATTGGGATACGGGTCAGGGCTAATCGACCCGTAAGTGTATGTATTGTAACTGAAAAACATTTGACATGCGTATTGATTGGTTTCATTGAAACTTTGACAAATAAATTATTTTTTTATAAGGGTCAATACATAGGCGGAGCCAAGGGTCCTGGGATGTGCCCCAAGACACAAGTAATTTCTAGGATAACAAAAAAAAATCCCATATATGTATAAAATAGGTATTGAATTCATGATATCTAGGTAATATAAGAGTTTTATACCACTAAATTATAAGACATTTCTTGTTTAAAGGCATACATAAATTTAATTTAACTCAGAATATGAAAATGTATCGTGGTTGTTTATGAAAATAATGATTGTATTGATTGGTTATTTCATTATTATATATTAATGATATATTTGGGTATTATTATTTTTAATTATATTTAATATTTTTTATATTTGGAAAAGATGACACAGGTACTTTTGAATCCTAGCTCCGCCACTGGGTGAATAACTTTATTAGAAATTGCAGCAAAGGGGAGAACAACTCCACAAACACCCAGGATCGCAAGTCATGATCCTAGGAAAAGAAGCAGGTCTAGAAAGAAAGAGCAACAAGACAGAGGAAAGACAAAGCTGCCACGCTCAACAATGAAAACCTCACAGCCGCCACGGGCCCAACTCAAACATGACAACATCCGAAAAACACACAGAACAGCCAAGCAGAAAGAAAAATCATCAAACAACACTAGTTCTTGAAACTTGCAGAGATGCTTGCTGATCATCCAAGAAAGCAGCAACTATCTCTGATTATCATTTAGAGGGCAAAACTCATGGAACAATGAAAGCCAAACTCTGCAGTTGTTCTTGTTGATCTGCCCCTGCGCAAAGCTCCCGTTCAAAAGTGTTCGTCCAATCTTGTGCAGGATAACCATCCAAGGTCTTGCTTCATCCTGAAATGTCTGGCATTTCTTTCAGTCCAAATTTCCCAAGTAAATGCGTGAAGTAGTCGGTTCCTGAACCAATCCATCCAAGTTGCCCGAGGGCTGCCAGTCCAGCTTCTAACCACAACGTCAATCTCATTTGAATGTGGTCTCATCGCATTTGTAAACTTTCGTAAGAGATACCAAATGTTGCGGCTGTAATCACACCTGCAAAACAAGTTGTTTATGCTCTCCTCTGCATTTTCACATAAAACACACCTACTCACAATATTCCAGCCTTTCTTCTTCAGATTTTCATGAGTGAGGAATAAACTATAGCATGATAATTGATAAGTAAGTTAAATTATTAATGAAATGGAGATTCTCATCTATTTACAACTTTGTTATATCTAAATTATGATATAGCAAAAGTAAAAGTTAGGTAATATTTGTAAAACTACAGATAATTTACACAATAACAGGTTGAAAATGAGACAGATCATCAGGGCGGCTCAAATTGAGGACAGTATCCATGTCTATCCTTTCTAGTGTCTTTTCATGTCTTAAAAGTAATGAATTTAGAGATAAGTCAAAAAGCCCACTTAAGTAATAAATTTAGGTTAGAAGTAAATCTTGGACGTAAGCCTATAGAAACTAAAGGGTCGTTTGGATTGAGTATTTGGAGTGTTATTTGGGGCGAAATAATACATATTTTTGGCTGACAAAAAATAGGATGTGTTATTTGAATGTGGTGTTTTGCCAAATAAGTAAATAACGGGTTTGAGACCAAATATAACAAAAAGTGTTGTTTGTTATATACTTGGTAGGGGTAGTGGTGGACCCATAGTTGAGCAGTGTTGGACTTAAGGCCCATAAGGGGTCGACCAGGCATGGCCCGAAAGAGGGACTCGGGCGAGGCACGGCGAGAGGCCCAGAGAAGGAGTGGACATAGGGAAAGGAGAATGGCGGCCATCTATGATGGGACAGGGAGTAGGCCACCCGACACAAAGTACCGTTGGTGGCAGGAAGAGAAGATCTTCCTAGGATACTTACCTCGAATACTCCAGGACTGAGCATTAAATGCCCGTCGCGGGCGGTCTAGATAAAAAGAGGCGTGCCTAGGGCGCCTGACATGGCATTTAATGCCTCATACTCAAGCTAACCGACTATAAATACATTCATATCTGCATTGATGGTAACTCAACTACTCTCTCTCTCTCTCTCTCTCTCTCTAAACATAAGCAAATAAATGTCAGAAAGAACACGCCTGAGAAAGGAGCGCCTGCGGCTAAACCCACTCAAGTGCGTGTTTGGCGCAAAGGCAGGAAAATTCCGGGGATTCATGATCACCAGCAGGGGAATAGAGGCAAACCCAAAGCAGATAGAAGCCATAATAAGCCTGAGACCGCCCGAGACTGTGAAAGAAATTCAAGCGTTCAATGGAAAAATGGCCGCCCTAAGCTATTTTATTCCAAGGGCAGCAGACAAATGCTCCCCCTTCTTCCAGATGCTGAAAAAATCAGCATCCCGTTCCCAGTGGAGCGCGGAGTGTGACAAAGCTTTCTTCCAATTGACAGAACAGCTAACTTCACCTCCCATGTTGAGTGCCCCGGGACAAGCTGAGCCCCTATACCTTTACTTGGCGGTCTCAGATCAAGCGGTCAGCTCAGTTTTGGTACGGAGAGATGGGGATGGCTCGGATCATCCCGTCTACTACGTAAGCAAGGCGCTCCTCCCGACAGAGAGGAGTTACATGTCCATCGAGAGAGCGATCTTGGCAGTTGTGTCGGCCTCAAGGAAGCTACGCCCCTACTTTCAAGAGCACCAAGTAATCGTCCTCTCAAACCTCCCGCTAAGGAAGATCCTGAAGGGAATGGATGTGTCTGGCAGAATGACCAAGTGGGCAGTCGAACTCAGCGAGTACGACATCACGTACGCTCCGCGACCTGCTATCAAAGGGCAGGTACTAGCAGACTTCATCGCCGAAGGATTCAGTCTGGGAAGCACAAGAGAGAAGGAAGAGGCAGAAGTGTGGCACCTTTTCATCGACGGGGCGGCCGGAAAAGGAGGAGCGGGAGCTGGAATCGTCATTGAAACGCCCACAGGGGTAGTGCATGAAATCTCTCACAGATTCCTCGAATTAAAGACCAACAATGCAGCAGAGTATGAGGCGCTCCTTAGTGGGCTGAAGATTGTCGTCAACATGGGAGCCTCTCGCTTGCACATCTACTCTGACTCATTGCTGGTAGTTAACCAAGTGCTGGAAAGGTATGAGGTGAAGGAAGAAGCTCTCGCGAAGTTAGTGGGGAAGGTGAGAGGAGCCTTGTCACAGTTAGATTTCTGGAAGCTGGAGCATGTGAAAAGAGAAGACAATCACCATGCGGAGCCCCTATCCAAATTAACAACCGCAATGGATTTTGAAGGAGAACGCCGAGTAACAGTAACAAAGGAAGCGGTCCGAGCATACGAAGTAATGGCCCTAGGGGATGAGAGTCGCGACTGGCGGTCTCCCTTGGTTGACTATTTGCAAAATGATGTCATCCCAGAAGATGCAATTTTGGCCAAGGAATTGAGAAGAAAGGCGGCCCACTACACCCTGGTAGAGGGACAGCTGTGTAAGAGGTCTTTCTCAGGAGCATATCTGAAGTGCCTTGGTCTAGATGAAGCGAAGTGGGTGGTGAAGGAAATCCATCAAGGCACATGTGCGACACACTCTGGACCGAGAAGCCTCAAGAGGACGGTGCTACTTCAGGGGTACTACTGGCCAACAGTAAAGAATGACGCAATGGAGGCGGTCCAGAAGTGTCACGAATGTCAGATCCATGCTAGCAAGCAACACTTGCCAAGTGAACAACTGAAGGGCATTATGGGGCCATGGCCATTTGCACAGTGGGGTCTAGACCTCCTGTGACCGTTTCCCACAGCTCCTTTGGGAAAGAATGTACTTAGTGGTCTCGGTCAACTACTTCACAAAGTGGATCGAGACGGAACCGCTGGACACAATCACTAGTGCCAAAATCCAAAAGTTTTTATTCAACAACATAATGATAAGGTTTGGAACACCTCATACTATTATAACTGATCATGGCATGCAGTTTCATTGCATACCATTTGAGAACTTCTGTGCCCGCAACTGCATCACCTGCAAAATGGCATCCGTGGCATTCCCTCAAGCCAATGGGCAAGTGGAATCCTCCAATAAGCTAATCTTGCGAGTTCTGA